AGGGATTTCTACCTCTGGAGTGCTAGGATTAAAGGTGTGAGTGCCACCATTTTCTAGCCTTTGTATCTAGTGGCTGTTCTGTCTCTGACCCCAGATAAGTTTATTAGGGTGCACAATATTTTGGGGAACACAATACCACCACAGAATATCCCAACTCTCAGCTGTGTTGTTTATGAGTTTAAGCCTCCAGATTTCAATTTATACTCATTGAATTTGCTGGTTGATTTAAGAAAGTCTCAGCTCTCAATTTCCAGGATCAGGGATAGTTAGGTAAAGGACTTTTTACAATGACTTCTATATAGCATAGTATGCAGTGCAAACATACCATTTCACACTTTTTATGGCAAAAAGAGGAAAGAGTCCCTAGCTTCTTTTCACTTCCCTCTGAACATTCTCACTCTTTCTAAAGATTCCCCTATCCTACCCTGCAGCTTCTTGCCAACTTCTATTGGTGAGGCTGCCTGTTTTCCTGATCTCCAACACAAATACCATGGCCTTTTGTCTTCCTTTTATATCTCTCCCAGGAAGGTACCAAAATCTACAGGTTACCTGCCATGTTGTTTTTCCTCTCAAACCCTAAAATTGTTCTCAAGTTTTCTTAAGTTCTTCTATCTATGAGACTAAGGACCAGCAAAGGGGGACCTGCATTCTCTGCTAATACAGTCTCTATCTCCTACATGCTGGTATTATAGATAATGCCACTGTCTTAGTTAGGGTTATAATTGCTGTGATGAAACACCATGACCAAGCAAGTTGAGAGGAAAGGGTTTATTTGGCTTACACTTGCAAATTGCAGTCCATCATTGAAGAAAGTTACAACAAGTAATCAAACAGGGCAGGAACCCAGAGGCAGGAGCTGATGCAGAGGCCATTGAGGTTTGCTATTTACTGGCTTGCTTCCTCTGACTTGCTCAGCCTGCTTTCTTATAGGACCCAGGACTCCAGCCTCAGGGGTGGCACCACCCACAAGGGGCTGGGTCTTCTCCCATTAATCAGTAATTAAGAGAATGTCCTACAGGCCTGCCTATAGCCAGATTTTATGGAGGCATTTTCTCAACGGAGGTTCTTTCATCTTAGATGACTTAGCTTGTGTAAAGTTGACATAAAACTAGACATCAAAGCCACCTGCTGGGGTTATGACAAAGTTTGTATACAAATTATAGACAACATTTTTTGAGTTCTCATCATATGCCAGGCACAGTGTAACTATTTTTAAAAATTTACTTATTTTTATTTTATGTGCATTAGTTTTTGCCTGCATGTGTGTCTGTGTGAGGGTGTGTGAGGGTGTCAGATCTTGCAGTTACAGACAGTTGTTAGCTGCTATGTGGGTCTGGGAATTGAACCCAGGTCCTCTGAAAGAAGAGTCATTTCTCTTAACCTCTGAGCCATCTCTCTACCCCTCAGTATAACTATTCTTTTAGCCTATTCTAGTCTATACTTTCTGTGAACTTTCCAATAGCTATACTGTTCATGAAATTGTCTTACTCATTTCTCTCTCTGGTTGTGTGTGTGTGTATGTATTTTATTGCATAGGGCCACGGGTGGCCTGTATCCCCAAGAACTCAACACAAATGTATAGAGTAAAAAATCCCACAGTATGACTGACATACTGGGAAATTCAACATGATGGGATTAAAAAAAAAAAAACTTTGTGATTGTGTGTCTGTGTGTCTGTGTGTCTGTGTGTCCCATGACATATGTATAAAAATCAAATCAAAGGACAACTTTCAGAAGTCCATTCTCTCCTTCTGTCTTGTGGGACCAAAGGATTGATCATCAGACTTGGTAGTAAACACCTTTACCTACTGGGCCCTCTTGTTGTCCCATGGTTGGAAATTCTTTAACACCTCTCCATTGAGATACAAGGTTGAATTCTACTTTCTTGGAATCTAGGCTATGTAGATGGACTTTTCTTTCCCTCCTGCCAGTTCCCAAATAACTGACATGGAGACTTAATATTAATTATAAATATTCAGCCAATAGCTCAGGCTTGTTACTAGCTAATTCTTAAATTTTAAATTAACCCATACTTCTTATCTACCCTCTGCCACGTGGTGGTACCTTCTTTTAACACAGCATGTTCATCTTGCTTCTCTATGCATTTCTTGAGACTCTTTTGACTCTGCCCTTCTTCTTCCCAGCATTCTCCCTGCCCAAAAATTCTGCCTGGCTATTGGCCAATCAGTTTTTTATTAACAATGAGAGCAATGCATATTTACAGTGTTCAAAGATTGTTCCACAGCATTCCCCCCTTTTTGTCTAATTAAAAAGGAAGGTTTTAACTTTAACATAGTAAAATTATATAAAACAAAAATAGTTATCAAGTAAGAATTACAATTAACAATATCCAGTCTATTTGTATTAGGCAAAAGTACAGAAAATACTCTATTATCTAAAGTTTTATACCTAATTTAACTTTTATCACAACTAAGGAAAACTAACTATGACTGTCTAGTCTTCAACTGTTGTATGATATTTTGTTTGTGTTCTGACAAATAAAACTTGCCTGGAGATCAGAGGGTAGAGCTAGCCACTAGTTAACCATAGAGGCCAGGCAGTGGTGGCACACACCTTTAATACTAGCACTTGGGAGGAGGAAGCAGGAAGATTAGGAGTTCATGGTCACCCTGAACTAAGAGAGATTGAAACAGTCTTAAAGAGAAACAGAGCCAGGAGGTGGTGGCTCATATCTTTAATCCCAGCACTAGGGAGGTGGAGACAGGATCTTAGCCCATTCAGTCTGAGGATTTGTAGAGACAGGAACACCCTCCCCACTCAATTTGGTCTGAGATTTCATGGAGGTAAGAGTCTCTGGTGGATGGCTGCTGTGATTCTCTGACCTTTCAACTTTCACCCTAATATCTGACACCATGTTTTTATTTAGTTAAGACTAATTAGGATCACGCTTTATTCAACTCCATCAAAGACTGCAGAAGGATAAAATGTTACCTAATGACAGGGACATCTGGCTGACTGGACAGTTACCCAAAGTTTTTCTGTGATTTTGGGACATCCAACTTTGGCCTATAGCTCTAGTATATCTGACAGACATTTCTGAGAAGCAGGGAATTTTGAAGGACTTGTTTGGCAAATTTTGTTTGCCTTGTTTGGCAAAGTTTGGCAGTCACTTTTTTTTTTGCATCCTGCAGGTCCATTTTGGACAGTATACTGTCAGCAATTGAGACAAGAACAGTTTTTTGCCCAAATGGCTAGTTTTTGCCATGGAGAAAGCAAACTCCACATGGAGATTCTTCCATGCCCATCATCTTCTCTGAAGTAAACTGGTGCTGTCAGGAGCAGATTTGTCTCACTGTCAGGAAAAGCTTTGGTTATTAAACATATTAAATGCCATATTCTATAGGTTTTTAAAGTGTCTGAAGACCATCTATTTATCTAAATATATCTGCTTAGCCTTGAAAACATACCTAATATGACAAGTTTGATTATTATAGATGACTAACTACTACTAACCTGTATTTCTTAATTATATATTACATTTTAAATGAGCTGAATAAATACAATACCCTAAACAAGAGTAGAAACATACATACAGTATGACAAAATAAACTTTAAATGTGTATCAATAAACCAAAATCTATATCAATATAAAACATTTTAAGATTAATAGTTGTTTTTTGGATTTAAAGTAGATTCAATAATCTACCCTATTATCTCATCATTTCTATATCATATCCTTCTTTTTTCCTTTAGAAAGAGATCTTTGAATTTAACTCTTTCGTTTAGCTTTTATTTTTTCTGACTATGACCAAAAACAACTTGTAAGTGACCGCCCTTAAATGATAATAAACTTCCATAACACATCTTTTGGGAATGTGGGTGTCTTTCTGTGTAGACTACTTACTGTTGTTTGTGGGTGTTGGAATATTTGGAGAGACTGAGAAAATGAAGGATAATGATTAAGTCTTGACTGGAATAGTTTGTAAGGCTAAACCATCTCAGCCAGTGGCCTTGAAGCTGTTCTGGATGCAGAACTCCAAGAAAACTCCAACAGAGGCATTTTGAGATGCTGTATCACCTTGGCCATTTGTTTACATTGGTGTCTGGTCCCCTTGCTCAGAAAACACATAAACTTTTAAAGGTAACGTACATATCTGTATGAGTACAAGTATAGACTATGTGTTGTACACGAGTTAGCCAAAGATGATTTTTTTTTGTTTTATGTTTGAGCAGGTAAAATATATGTTATGTATTTCTGTAGGTTTTTTTTTAGGTTTATTTCTTTATGTCTATAGTCAGAATTTTCAAGTGATCTTCTTCAATCAAACTGGATCATCTTTAACTTGGAATAATTCCACAGCCTCTCATTTCCTGCAGAAATAAAAGCATAACCTCTCTCCCAAAGTAACACACCTTTTGACTTCCATTTTGAATTCAAGATATTTTTTAAATATATAGGGTGGTTTAATCTAGCAGTTTCCATAATCCAATGTTTCTTAGCAGTTATTACTCATTCATTAGCAGTCAAAAATTTAAAGACAACACAAGAACACAGGATCCAGACTCTCTGTGAATTTTCCATCTTTATGTGGCCTTTTTTTTATAATACATTACTCCCTTTTTAAGGACTTTACTATTATTTTAAAACTATATATACATATATATGACTGTCTATGACCCTTTTTCTTTTCTCTCCCAAGCCTTTGTACATTTTTAAACACACTGTAACCTATTGAGAGTTTTTTCTGTCTGGATCTGTCTTTACTGAGCAACTGTAACCTTTTCTGTCTACATGAGCAAAGCCCCAAACCTGCCATGCAGCACGTTGGCAGAGCTTGCACTGGCAGCTCAAGCACTCAGGCAGCAGCTGGGAGATGCCTTTCTGTACCATAGCTCCTGTGAGAGACTGTGGGAACCCACCATGTGGCTTAGCTCATGGTGTGCTGGCAGCTGCCTGGAGAAATGTCCTGTACTGTGGCCAGCATGAGAGACACAAGATGAGGAAGCCATGTTTGGCTCTGTTTTTGTGTGTTTAGAACCTTTTTCAAGCTTTCTCAGGTCTTATGTAGCATAGGTGCCAGACGTTTGGGCACCATTTATAGGTAGACTTTTCCCCTCAAATGCCAGTTTCCAAATAACCAACATGGAGACTTAATATTCATTATAAATGATTAGCTGATACTTCAGGCCTGCTACTAACTTGTTGCTGGAGGGCTTCTCTCCAGGTTCCCCAAGCCCCGAAGTCCCACAATCCACTTATAAAATAATCACTCAGACCCTTATATCACTTATAAACTGTATGGCCATGGCAGGCTTCTTGCTAACTGTTCTTATATCTTAAATTAACCCATTTTTATAAATCTATACCTTGCCACGTGGCTGGTGGCTTACCGACATCTACACATGCTGCTTGTCCTGGTGGTGGCTGCAGTGTCTCTCCACAGCCTTCCGCTTCCCAGAATTCTCCTCTCTCCTTGTCCCACCTACTTCCTGCCTGGCCACCTACTTCCTGCCTGGTCACTGGCCATCAGTGTTTTATTTATATAGAATGATATCCACAGCACTAACTCTTAAATTTTAAATTAACCCATATTTCTTATATACCCTCTGCTGCATGGCAGTACCTTTTTTTAACATGGCACGTTCATCTTGCTTCTCTCTGCATCTCTGGAGACTCCTCTGACTCTGCCTTTCTTCCCAGCATTCTCTCTGTCCCCCAAATCCTGCCCAACTATCAACCAATAAGCTTTTTATAAATGATGAGAGCAATACATATTATAGTGTACAAAGATTGTTTCCCAGCAAGACTGTTTACAGTGTTTGCTATATTAATAGAATGTGTTTAAAAAGACATTATAAGACGTCTTACAGCTTCTATCCAGATTCCCCAGAACATTATCTCTAGGTGCTCTAAGCCATCACTTATGAAGTCATCTACCTGATGCCACTATGCTGGTGAGGACACTGTTGATACAAAACAAAGATCTCACCTCAAAGGGAATGAAACATATTTTATTCTAGATATGGGTGACTGTGGACTGGAAACACAGACATGAGGTTACTCCAAATACCAATGTGATAAAAGTTTCATGAAGTTTTCATAGTAAGAGAATAAAGAACATCATAAATCAAGACACCTTTCAAATAAGTTGGTGAAAGTAACAAAGTAGAGAAATTTCTGCTATAGGCCTCAGATGCTGTCTTATGGCATTCTTAGCCTTTGGGTTGCTGGAAGCTAGGGGTCTGTCAGTACAAAAAGATTTATCTAATATAGTCGTAAGGACAGCTGTTAGGCCAAACACAAAGCAAGGCAATGAATGACATATTAAGAGGAGTAAAGATAGCTTAAGATAATTTGGATCTAAACTTGTAATTTTCCTCCCTAATTACACATGTTCTAATCAATCAATCAATCAATCAATCAATCAATCAATTAATCAATCAACCAGTTCAGTCAACCTTGAGGAGTCTTTACAGAGGTGTGGCTCCCCCCACCTCTGCAAACTTCAGTTCACAGTGCTGTGCTGATAAGGCCATGCATAGGGTTGGCTGAGAGTCTGAGTCTGGATCTCCATCCTTTTCTGCTGAACCAGACACAAAAAGGAAGCTGCTTTTCGACTATCTCATTTGCCATCTCAATGGAACCAAGGAATTTCTGATGTTGACACACAGAAAAGTTACCCAGACAAATTCTGCTCAAGTTTATAAGTTATACAATAATGACATACAATCAAACAATTATTTTCAAACCTCTATATATTGGAATACTTGTTACATAACAATAGATAAAACAATAAATGTCAGTTATGGAAATATTCCCAATCTATGTGCCTACCCTTCTCACCTCTTATCTCAGTCCCCCCACCCCAGGCCACCCCATCAAGGCCTCCATAAAGCCTTGATGACTTCAGAAATTTGCCTTCAGTGTGGCTGTAAGAGAGGTGACTTTTCTTAGTTGGACTTCTATTAGAATAAGCCTGCCTGCTCTGTAGAAAAGGTCTTGCAACTTTGGGTCATCAACCAGAGCTCCACAGGGTAACCCGTCAATCTTGGTTGACAGCAAAATTTCTGTATCTTGGTTAGAGGCTCTCTCCTTTGAAGCCTGTCCTCTTACCCTACCTGTGCAGCCTAGTAAGATGCAATTACTCTAGTCTTGAGGAGACTCAGCTGCCTATTTATGGCTGTTGCAGCTCCACTTGCTTTCCATGTCATGCCTGTCTCTTTTAGCCAACTAAGAACTACCCATATTCCAGAATCAGATTCCTTTCTGCCTTTAATGACTCAATGCCAATGGCCCAACTAAGGCAACACATTCCACATTGTGAATTTTCCCTATATGCATGCTCCATATCCCCTATAAAGCCTACTGTCATGATCTGGTCTATTGCTACGTGTTTCCATCTGCATTCAGGGGCAGCAAGTTTTTGTTCACCCTTCCCCAGTAAGTCTTTTGTGTGAGGTCTGTTGTATGGTGTGATTTTTGTGACATTCCCTGGACCCCATTCCAAGATACTCTTTTGTAAAAACAAAAACAAAAACAAACAAGCAAACAAACAAAACAACCTCCTGGAATTTACTGAACTCTATGGGTGCTCTGGATAGAGTCTTCATGTTTTCTGATAGCAGCAAAACTAAACATATATTTGAGAAGCAGGAGGTCTCTTTTGATGCAGGAACTCTGGAAAGGATAATGTAAACTGCCAAAACTGTTCTGAGAGGATGGTCCAATGGCAATAGTTCACCTTTTTTTACTTCTGTCTGCCATTGCTCCTCAAACATATAGAAAGGATGAATGAAAGATGGTGACAGGATTCCTGGAAGAGGAGTGAGTTGGAGTCAGTATATGGCATGTCTGTGATATGAAGAAATAGGCCCATTAAGATAGAAAATGGAGAGAGCTGTAGCCACACTTGGATTCTCTTGTGAAAGATTCACTTAGCCAGGCCCAACCCAGACCCAAGAGAAGAGGAGCTTGGTGTGGGAGAAGGAAGCCAAACAAAATCGAGTTAATGTCATATCTCTAGAGTTACTTTTTATCAAGGTTTAAGCTCAGACTCCAGGACTCTGTACTTATATAATTTTAACAATTCAGTTTCTCTGAACTACAGATTGTGGAGGCCCAAATTACTCAGGGTCAGAGAATCTGAGCTCGCTTTACCCAGCAGGGCTGCGTAAGGGGGGATGATTTGACCATGGGCGTGGTTACCAGGTGTTTGGAAGGGTCTACACTTGACTATGCATTGTGCTTTGATCTAGGAGGTCTTTTGCCCCACCCCTTGGCCTTGTTATAAAAGGCTCTTATGAATAAATGGAAAAGGCTGTTGGGTATTGACCCAGGTCCTCCCGAAGCTGTCCTGTGTTTCTGTCTTTCTGTTCTCCCTTATCTTTCTATCTAATATTTTCTTATCCCTCTCTCCTTCTCATAGGAACCCTGGAAAAGGTGGGAGCTGGCCTTCCACAACTGAGTGACAGCACCAACCTCACAGAGTTGTGAGGATTAAATGAATTAATATGTCAAATAATTGGAAAAGTGCCTAGTGAATGCACAGCCCTACTAGTCCCAGATGCCTGGATGAACATGGCAGATGCAATGCAGGAAGTTGTGGGTGGAGAGTAGGACAAAGACTGAAGTCAAAATTAGCAGGCAAACCCCCCCCCCCAAAAAAAAGACAGAAAGACTAGATCCTCTCTAACAAGGCTGATACATATGGTGATATTTTAATTGGACTGAAATGTGATTTTATTTGTATGTTAATAAATAAAGTTGCCTGAAGGTCAGAGTTAATAGCAAGACATAGCAGAAACTGGGTGGTGGTGGTGGTGCATGCCTTTAATCCCAGCTCTTAGGAGGCAGAGCTAGGCGGATCTCTGTGTGTTCAAGGATACAGCCAGCATGGAGACACACGCCTTTAATCTCAATACCAACCATAGAAGACCTGGAGGTCTGTACAGACAGGCAGTGACAAGGAGGTCATGTGGTTGGGTTTACAACCAATGAGAAGGCAGAATAGAAAGTCTATAAAAAAGACAAACAGACAGGAAGTAGGTCTCTTGCTGAAGAGGACAACAGCAACAGAGAAGGGTAAGATTTTTAGCTCTGATCTCTTAGGCTTTCATCTTTGCATTGGCTCTGTGTTTCTTATTTAACAAGACCGTTCATCTACAGATACATAACAGTATGCCCAGGAAAAAAAATCACACCATGTGAGTGATCTGAAAGCTAATGATATTGGGATATAAACTTGCCAATTCTTTGGATAGCAATTGCCATTGGGCCTCTGACCTTTTCCCCAGCTCTGGCAAACTTTCTTCATTGAAAGTTCTCTCTTTCTTAATAATTAGTCTCTGCTTCTACCACTATCCATGTGTCCTTGGTTTAATTCCTTGTTCTGACACAGAAGAGCCTCGAAATCCCAGCAGGTGTCACTGGACCCGGATATACACCTATAACAAAGCTGTATACCTCTGGTATGTTTGTTGAATGGAGGCCAAGAGTTTTGTCATTGGATGGTATTTCATAAAACCCATCTTCACATCTGAGCCTGACATTACTCTATGTCATGGTGGTTCACAATAAATAAATAAAGCATGGACCCTTATGATGTTCACAGGCTCACAGGGTCACAGGTGTGGAAGTGGAATGTTCAAAGCCAGTGTACTAAGTGTTCTAAGAGGCCTTGGAGAAGCAGAGTAGGCTTCTTGGGGAAGGTATATCAAAGGACAATCAGAAGATGAGTAAGAGTTATCCAGGAAGAGGGGGCTGAATGCTAGATGTGGAAGTAACTTTTGTCTGAGGGTTTTCTCTGGGCCACAATGTGGTTCTGAGTGGGTAAAGTGTGGGGGTATAAAAGGCACAGGCACCAAGGTTGTGGCTGGAAAGAGAAGCAGCATCTGCTGACTTAGGAGAGTTGGGCTAGTTCAATCCTGGACAGCTTAACACTTAGCACTGTAATGGTTCAGAACAGCAGTCCTTCCTAGATTAGTTAATCATGGACTGCTTTGATTCCCAAAACTATGAAATGTTACAGAGGCCCACATTCCTAATTAAGGAGTATATGACCACTCTTGATGGAGTGTTTTCCAATTTGGGTACTGCCACATGGACACTTAGAGAAAACTTGCTGGAAGTGATGGAATGGACTGTTTTGAAAGGCATGTAGTAGGAACAGAGAAGGAAGAGGAGGAAGAATGTGACATTGAGGGGGTCAACAAATGAAAAAAGAAATCAAGGCTATTTGAAAGGACTCTGTGGTTCAAAGGTTTTCTGAATGGTAGTAGGGAATAAAGCAGGGTTCTGCTAAACAGGAAAAATGACAAAAGAAAATTACCAAAATGTCAACATCCCCGAGGTTGAGGAATCCTGGACTAAACTGATCTAGTGCTCTTAGCTTAAATAGGGGAAATCCAGTTGGAGCCCAAAGATCTAGTA